TAACCTTGTCGCATTTCCTAAAGGCTTCAACAGCATTGGCATGTGCCAAGAGCAAGTTATGACTGACGATATAAGCTTCGTATCCTGACCGTCCATCATGACACAACTCACCATGTTCTTTGATGTAACTAGAACAACGTCCTGGTGCTTTTTTCCCGATGTCGTAGCCAGCTCGACTAAACACCCATGGCTCGTTGAATGTGATCCAATGCTTCACTTTGTCTCCGTACTCTTGGAATGTGAAGTTCGCGTACTCGGTAAAATCCTTTCTAAATATACAAAATAAAGTATGTAAAATTTTAGTTACATGACTCAAAATCATGCATGTGCAAGTTGTAAACGACAAAATATCTTATAAATCTTACATTATGCGGTCGCTTAAGAAGCCACCATATTCATCTTCTAAGTCTTGAGGTGTATCCCAGTGAAAAACGGTTACTAGTGGTGTTATTTCTGGATTTTCAAATAGTTAAAGCGTTAGTAAGAGTATATAGTTTTGAAATAATGTATAGTTTTTTTGTTTTTGTTTTTAATATAAAAATAGTTTGTACGTGTAGTTCATCGGAAATAAAACTACTCACCATTTTTTAGGAGCTCGTCGATCAAGTCGTGGTAATACTGCACACCTGCTTTGTTTATGCCTTTCTCCATCCTACCATCTGTTAGTAATTTTAATTTTTATGCTATTATTTACTCAACTAAAGTTATACTATATATCAACCATTGAATATTTACAAAGAAAAACCACTGAAATATAATTCGTTGAGATTTTAACTTACGAGGAAATATTCTGGGCCATGCAATGGAAAATCTAAATCCATCAGTGTTCAGATTTTTCATCAACTTGATGTCTTCCTATTAAATTAATTTTTATAAATTAATACAAAAGAGCTTCACAAGCTAGCATATACCACGAAAAAAAAAATAATACCTTGTAACGATGGTAGAAATCGACAGCAACGTCGGCATTGTGATAATTACATCTATCTGGAAAATTTTAATTTTTATTAAAAATAGATGAATTTTTTTTTGTTGACAATTTTAATTAGTCAAAGTTGGATTAAAAAAAGAGGGAGAGAGACGTGGGAATTTCTTGGTGTATATGTCCCACATGCTTGGTCCTCTACATCCTTCGTGTACAGCTCCTTCAACCTATTTAAGTTACCACATAAATCACTTATCCAATGATTTTAGAATAGCTTAAAAAAAGTAGAATGATTTTTATCCAAGTGTATATGATACCTGAAAAGCTGCGGTTGCGGTACCAAAAATAAAACCCTTAGGAAAATTGGCACGACTAAAGGTTTGTTCGGTACTAGAACATGCATATTCATTGGCAGTGGTCAGAGAGCCGATTAGGCCGAAGAACAAAAGTAAAGCTAGGAGAGGAAACTTATGAAACCTCCCCATTAGTGTGTATATTCGATCTCTTGAGTAAATCAAATACTTGAAGAAAATGTGAATGGACAAATATGTTTTTATATAGAGACTATAGAGCATTTAAGACACTGTGGATTGTTTACATGCGTGACGGGCAACGAAATGGGAATGTAAGAGATGAAAAGTGTGTGCTATAAGATTTATAAAATCATTTTGTTTTTATAATAGTCGAACAAATTGTCACTTTATAATTATTTTGTTTTCAGTGAATTATTTAACTCACTATAAG